ATTGATTCTGCTACAGTAAATTCTGAGAATAATTAAATTATTAATTATCGATCATAATCCGTTGTGAGTAATAATTAATTATATTTATACGTGCGTATAATCGCTACAATCTGTTTCGTGAACAATTCTGCAGCTTTGAACGAATCCTGAGTCAATCATTCAATGATTCATTCATAAATACAGCTTCGTTACTGAATGAATGAATAGATAGATACAGCTGATTATATAGCTTATTAAAGGGATAGTTCACCCAAAAATGAAAATTAGCCCATGACTAACTCACTCTCAGTCTCAAGCCATCCTAGGTGTATGACATTCTTCTTTCAGACGAATACATTCAGAGTTATATTAAAAGTCCATAAAAGTGCATCTATCCATCATAAAAGTGCATCTATCATCATAAAAGTGCATCTATCCATCATAAAAGTGCATCTGTCCATCATAAAAGTGCATCTATCCATCATAAAAGCGCATCTTTCCATCATAAAAGTGCATCTATCCATCATAAAAGTGCATCTGTCCATCATAAAAGTGCATCTGTCCATCAAAAATGCATCTATCTATCATAAAAGTGCATCTGTCCATCATAAAAGTGCATCTGTCCATCAAAAATGCATCTATCCATCATAAAAGTGCATCTGTCCATCATAAAAGTGCATCTGTCCATCAAAAATGCATCTATCCATCATAAAAGTGCATCTATCCATCATAAGTGCATCTGTCCATCAAAAATGCATCTAACCATCATAAAAGTGCATCTGTCCATCATAAAAGTGCATCTGTCTATCAAAAATGCATCTATCCATCATAAAAGTGCATCTACCCATCATAAAAGTGCATCTATCAATCATAAAAGTGCATCTGTCCATCATAAAAGTGCATCTGTCCATCATAAATGCATCTATCCATCATAAAAGTGCATCTATCCATCATAAAAGTGCATCTGTCCAGTATAAATGCATCTATCCATCATAAAAATGCATCTATCCATCATAAAAGTGCATCTGTCCATCATAAAAGTGCATCCGTTCATCATAAAATTGCATCTATCCATCATAAATAACACATTACAAAGTAACATTTTTCATGGGCTAGTTATAATCATAATCATGGGCTAATGTTCATTTTTGGGTAAACTCTCCCTTTAAGACACCTACTGGCAGTTTTAGTTTAATATTTAAAAGTATAACTTTGTTTTTACCATCATTGCATATTTCTCTATTGATTTTTTTTTATTTAAAACATTATTTATTTTATAAAGTTATTCATAAAGGTAAAAAAAAGTGTGTCTCAGTGTGGGAAGCACAGCTCTCGATCTCTGAGATCTCAGCAGTATCTCCATCTGAACTCCAGCACTGGGTCTCAGTGTGGGAAGCACAGCTCTCGATCTCAGAGATCTCAGCAGTCTCTCCATCTGAACTCCAGCACTGGGTCTCAGTGTGGGAAGCACAGCTCTCGATCTCTGAGATCTCAGCAGTATCTCCATCTGAACTCCAGCACTGGGACTCAGTGTGGGAAGCACAGCTCTCGATCTCAGAGATCTCAGCAGTATCTCCATCTGAACTCCAGCACTGGGTCTCAGTGTGGGAAGCACAGCTCTCGATCTCAGAGATCTCAGCAGTATCTCCATCTGAACTCCAGCACTGGGTCTCAGTGTGGGAAGCACAGCTCTCGATCTCTGAGATCTCAGCAGTATCTCCATCTGAACTCCAGCACTGGGTCTCAGTGTGGGAAGCACAGCTCTCGATCTCAGAGATCTCAGCAGTCTCTCCATCTGAACTCCAGCACTGGGACTCAGTGTGGGAAGCACAGCTCTCGATCTCAGAGATCTCAGCAGTCTCTCCATCTGAACTCCAGCACTGGGTCTCAGTGTGGGAAGCACAGCTCTCGATCTCAGAGATCTCAGCAGTATCTCCATCTGAACTCCAGCACTGGGACTCAGTGTGGGAAGCACAGCTCTCGATCTCAGAGATCTCAGCAGTATCTCCATCTGAACTCCAGCACTGGGACTCAGTGTGGGAAGCACAGCTCTCGATCTCAGAGATCTCAGCAGTATCTCTATCTGAACTCCAGCACTGGGTCTCAGTGTGGGAAGCACAGCTCTCGATCTCAGAGATCTCAGCAGTATCTCCATCTGAACTCCAGCACTGGGACTCAGTATGGGAAGCACAGCTCTCGATCTCAGAGATCTCAGCAGTATCTCCATCTGAACTCCAGCACTGGGTCTCAGTGTGGGAAGCACAGCTCTCGATCTCAGAGATCTCAGCAGTATCTCCATCTGAACTCCAGCACTGGGACTCAGTGTGGGAGCACAGCCCTCGATCTCTGAGAACTCAGCAGTATCTCCATCTGAACTCCAGCACTGGGACTCAGTGTGGGAAGCAGAGCTCTCGATCTCAGAGATCTCAGCAGTATCTCCATCTGAACTCCAGCACTGGGACTCAGTATGGGAAGCACAGCTCTCGATCTCAGAGATCTCAGCAGTATCTCCATCTGAACTCCAGCACTGGGACTCAGTATGGGAAGCACAGCTCTCGATCTCAGAGATCTCAGCAGTATCTCTATCTGAACTCCAGCACTGGGACTCAGTATGGGAAGCACAGCTCTCGATCTCAGAGATCTCAGCAGTATCTCCATCTGAACTCCAGCACTGGGTCTCAGTGTGGGAAGCACAGCTCTCGATCTCTGAGATCTCAGCAGTATCTCCATCTGAACTCCAGCACTGGGACTCAGTATGGGAAGCACAGCTCTCGATCTCAGAGATCTCAGCAGTATCTCTATCTGAACTCCAGCACTGGGACTCAGTGTGGGA